CTTGTTTAAAGTTGGAATGCAATGCCTCCGCGTCGACATCGAATTTCGAGCGAAGTGAAAGAGCGTCTTGTAAGAGCGTATGAGGACCCGGCCGAGGATTATCTAGCGGTTGCCGCTACATTGGGGGTTAATAGTTCTACCGCAACCATATGCAAACTTATTTACCAAGATGCTTAAATAGAGAGCATATTCAAGGATGAAGATAATTTTTGTATGNATGACGAAATTAAATGTCCGTATTTTGGTATTGTATGTTTGTTGTAGTTTATTGAATGCACATAATTGGCTAATGAAGGTTTGAAAACGTTAATGAATCTGCGCAAAGTTATGCATGATTGTCTATGTCTATGCTAAATATGTTAATGATTCTCCCTTCACGCTCTTGAAACTCCCTAAGCGTTAATGAACGTTCGTTYGCGCTAAAGACAATGCAGTTTCGCTTGATTGAAAGTCCCTTCGCGGTTAATGAACAGCAAAAGGTGTACTATCTATTTCCTGGTTGTGTCTGCAACTATAAGCGACTTCCTTGGTCCTTGTCGGACCCATAAAAAGAAAGTACTTGTTTTCAACCACGTGTTAGCATTGACCAATCAACGGTGCGATCAGCATTTGAGTGCTTGCATCGTGCTTGATTCAGAGGCTCGCCATTTTGAGTTGTTTTGGGGCTGAGAGTAATAAAGAAAAAAGTAAATACAACTGACCGCATTCAACTTTGATTCAAAAAGTTTATTATCTGATGTTATCGAGTCGAAAAAMAATTCAATCAAATGATTTTTACTGGCAAAAATACTCTTTCCGATCCTCAAAAAGCACTCATTACATTTTCATTACATCTCTCCACCGCCTTTATTGATAAGAGTTCCCTTGCGCTTTATGTACAGCGGCATCAYGCGTGTGCAGTTCCTTCGGTTCGGGGAGCGGAAAGTAGGAATCAAATTGTAGGTAAAAGGCTGTCAACTTCATAGATTTTATTTGGAAAGGAACTCAGCTTCCCATGTGTGATGTGAATCTTTGCATTTCTTAAGTGTGGCTCAAACTACGTCAAAGAACCCGTCTCCAAAACTAAAAAAAGAACTAAAAAAACAGTACTAAGTAGGGATTTTCGATATTTTTTCCAAAAATAGTGCGATCAATTCAAAACATATCTCATCCGCCCTTAAATCCATCAAGCAATTACGCCAAATTTTTGCAATACATCGAAGCTTCAGCACTCATTATATTCGGGATTTTACCGGCAGCTGACAATAACAATCTTTTTCTGTTCCTAAAAAGCAAATGTTATTTGTTTTTGTTTTTTTTTTCTAATGTTTCTGGAGGTTTTATGGAGTTGTTTGATAAAGGGAATTTTGGAAAGATCACGTTACTTGCGCAATCCACCGACTGAATAGTTACTAATTCAGCTGGCAAAAATATTTTTAAAGGCCAACGTGCACCCAATAACATCTCTTGTTGAAAGGTTCATTGTTTCTGGTTGGTTCAAAATCAAAAATGGCGGATCAGTTTCGTCTGTATGTTTTGGATATTCGTGGGGCTTTAACATATTGCTGTACAAACAAGAGACTAGTGGTCAATTAGAAAGAATATATCAGCATTTTAATAGCGTTTAACTTTCAATGAGCAATAATTGGTTGTGTGGCTTTTTGGATGAAATTTAGCCGATGGGATTTCCTTGGTATCCGCCTTTTGAACTCGAGCAGATTCCAGTTTTCAGTGCCTGCATAATGCTAGAAACAAACAAAAGTAATAGTTTTAAAATGACATGTTTGATTGTTCGGCAAATATAACATATATATATAAACTATGAATTCCCAAAGATGCTCCCAAGAAAGGATAGTTAAGTGGGGCAACAATTATACCAAAGTCAAGATGATCATTTTATGTAATCAACAGAAACTTACGCAGCATTTCCAGGACCTCGTGCTACGCCACAGTACCCAGAGCAACAATTGGTTGGTTTCTTTTTACGATTACAGGGATGTTGTAAGGGTAGGCAAACCATAGAATCGTGGTGCGTCACAACATCTTTCTTTCCTTCATTTTCGTGGCGTTTCTTTAGTAGTAAAAACAAACACATGCCAACATTAAGTAAACACTAATTTCATATGAGGTTGAAAGCATGGTTTTTTGGAAGTTGAGTGCCGTGCTGCACCTAAAGTGCCTGGACATGATGAGAAATGCTGCAGGATTATCCAACATGATGAAACAATTATTGTGGAGCCAAACATTTTGCCGAAGTTTAACGAAGAACACGTTTCGCGGCCTGAATTAATTGATGGTGCTGGGTCAGGAGCGTTTGAAATAGCATCCTCAATGGAGTTTCCTTCAGTGGAACGCCACCCTAAAATTATTTTATTCTTATGGTTGATGTACGTTACGTTGCTGTTTGACTATTGAACTTATATTCGATACTCATGCGCCGGCTACATTTGATGAAATTTAAATTGCTCTCTACTTMAACATTTTCAGTATCTTTAAACACTTTGATAGATTATCAATGATAGCCCATGTGGGTCCAGAAAATACACAACTCCAGAAATCCATATTATAAGGCATGCGCAATGAGAACATGCCGATATCTCTTCAATTTTTCCAGTTCAAACTATTAACTATGGTAGCGCGGAGTAATTTTAGAGCATTGTTTGTGTCATATCAAAATATATATACCGTAAACACAGGACAGTATAATTTGGAAATCAACTGTGTACTTTGTGAACATAGCCGTTTTCCTGGCCATTTTACACCAAAACCTGTTAAAGTATTATTGGATGATTTCCGTGGCTCTATTACCATCAATTTTACGCATATTTCACGAGAAAAAACTTTTGCTTTAATCGGTTTTCAAAAGGTATTGGTCAACTGGATTTGATAAATGCCAAGCAGGCTGCAATGAATGTCATCTAAGAGAAATAGCAGAAAGAGAAACAGCGCAAGTTTGGGATTGAAACCAAATTTCATGTGAACTTTTTTTGAAAAGAAATCTAACCTTTCTAACTGACAAAGATGAGGCCAGCCCAATGAGCAACAATACGACCAATGTGGTTTTCATGTTGGTGGTTCAAGGTGTGAATGCCCTACTAGTATCTTAGCTGTGGGACAAGTCTTAAAATGCTTTAAGAGGAAATACTTTTGGAACCACGTTATCAATAAACTATTGTCCATCAACCACTGTTCTTTAGGTTATCTAAGGTTACAGGTTATCTAGAGTCATTGCTACTTCAGTATAAAAGAAAAAACATTTAGCTTTCCACGCTATTTAACTGGAATTTCCAGTTTTTCAACATTCCMACACGCGTATAACACCATCTTAATACGAGGAAGCTTTTAAAAGGGGTAYTTAAACACGTAGTTTCAAGAACGCTGTCATTTGAAGATTATGAACAATTATAATGAGTGGGTGGGCTCATAAATGACACAAAATGAATCTCCCTTGAACTCATTCCTTCGTCTTGGTAATAATTCATTTTTGATGCCCCAATCCCAACCCTGGAAATGTGATCAACCATACTAAATTCAATGTTCTTCTGCCCTTAACTTAAAGGGTGGCTCTGYATGCACGATGTCACATTACCTGGTTGTAATTACATCGATTTATTGACCGATTTTTAAGTATTTGAAAGCTTTTACGTGGTTAATGACGTTAAAAACAAACTATTTGATACCAGTATGTTACCAATAAAGAGAATTTTTAGGGTTAATGTATCATAGGGTATCACTTGCTTGCTTTTTGAAATAAACAAATATAGAGTGACTTTYATTTTTCCATCATAAGCATTTTGTTTGACCGTTGATCAAAGGTTATCTCATCCCCAAGGTTATCTATAAAGACTGAGATACCTCACATCATGAAAGGTTTAGCTTCGCATACACGCCTATGATTGCACAAATGATGACTGAGAGAAAGTCCAACTTTTGTATTTGAAAAAAGGACGAATTTATGATGAAAACAGACAAAAGAAGCAATCACTTTCTTTTGTCATTTTGATCTCTCCTTTTACAAAAGAAGAAATATTCTTTTTTTATGACAACACTTTTACAATTTGGTGTATAAATATACACCCTCTTAAGAATGGCGTCAACTGGTTGAAGAGAGTGGCACATTAGCAGAACAACGTTGAATTATTGAGACAAAATATTTTTCAATATTTTTACAATTCTCCGCAATTGAAAAGGATGATAAAAAGGAAGACAACTGATGAAGTTTATCAAATCGTTTTGACTATGTAAGATACATTTGTTCTGATTGTGCGRCTTTTGCTGATAATATTRTTGTTGATCARAAATTCTAGAAGACCATTGTTGTATAAGCACGTGACATTGTTATCTGGAATGTAACCCAGGAATCATTTTCATCTGAACTGTGTGTCCCAATATAGGAGATATATACGTCTTTTTAAGCACTTTCACTCCGYATCATAGAATCGGTSTATTTTCTATTTTGCTGCGCTGCAACTTTTGGAGGTGTTGAACCTGATCATCCCTAAGATTAGCTATATTGTGCATATATTGATACTGATACGTTTTCAATATATAGTAAGCTTCCTAGAAGTTCTCGTCGTATTCTGGGAACCGATGCAGCTTTTAAAATCTTGAGTGCTTCAGAGTTGCTACGCATTTTGCTTTACACGCTTATTACATGTAAACTGAGGACAACCCTCTTGTATTATTCTATATTTTCATTTAATTTTTCACTAAAAGAATTTTTTAAGGTAACTGCAACAACATCAACCAATAGGTACCTCAACTATTACATTTTTAAGCTTACTGCAACATCATTACGCCGTGGTTATCTTAATTACAATTAAGTTTTTGTTTCATTATTTATCTCTAGTAATGGACTATGAATTTCCATGAAGACTAGAGTCCGGAAAGGTGTTGATGATGCAGCCGACTAAAGTTCTAAATGGATTCTTTCCAGGATTAATAATTCAATTTAATCCAATTAAACGCCTTTTAACTAACTTTTTGCGTAAACTGGGAAATGTTTTGCAATTATAGTTGCCGCTGGTAGTAATAGGAGAAGAGTTCTTGAAAACCATGATGAGGTAGGTCGCGCCGGGAAGACACTAGTTTTGCTTATAGGGGTATTTTAATCACTAAATGTAAGAGAGAGTTCTCCCTTTCCCTTCTCGCYCGGGTTCGATTATGTGATTATAATTTGACGACAAGCTAAAGCTACTTGCCATCGCATTGGACGTCTTGCGTTGCAATAGACCAAATCTCCAAGAAACAGGGATCAAATTTAATGTTATTCAGTGTTTTTTTGTTTTTATTTTTGAATTCTTAGCTTGAAAACAAAAGTTCACAAGGTTTTGAAATTGGTGCCAACGCGTGGTCTGTTCACGATTCTCCGACCATTTTCTTAACTTGATCGGTCTCTACGGGTTACTCTATGGTTCCAAATTTGAAAAAGAAAACAAAATCACTTAGTACATGATTTCAATCGTTTGTGCTCTTGGTGTTTATTCGGAATTTGTTTCTTTAAGGGATCGTTTACATTAAGATTGACTATTTCTATMTTTGAACTTATGTGTGCATTCAAAATGTAACTTTTGACATTTCCGTCGTTCAAACAAATAACTGTTTTCAAAGTGTCTCTCCGTGATCAGGACTGTAAGTAAACTGCACAGACCAACAAACACTTTTACAGCGATCTCTTTCGGCGCACTGGCAAAAATCGCGCGCTTTAAAGGTTGTAAATTTGATGTAAATATGATGTAAGTGTCCAAAATTCTATAAATTTGATGTAAATAATCGATTTCCATTAAATTTCCAGAATTTTGGACACTTACATCACTGATTTACATCAAATTTACAATCTTTAAAGCGCGCAACTTTTTCTGAAGTTTCAGTATACGGTGTTAGACTCAAAACCAAGTTATATATTCTATTATACAGAAACAGTTCGTGAAAAGGCAAGAAAGGCAGTGAAAATAGTTACTTTGAAATCTCTTGAGTTTTATCTCATGTTATCTAAATTTGTACATATTTTACATGCGATAGACTATAGAGGCAGGCGAAACTCATGACAATTCACTAAACTCATGCTGAACAACAGGCTTGATTAATAACGACTCTTTTAGCTTCAGGCTGAAAAATAATTGCTTTTTTTCACAGTTACTAATTTGTGATCGTAAAATCCTTCACATAAGTGACGATAACTAGAAATAGACAATGTGTAGCGACGCCATTTTRTACAGCAAAGCATGATTGTAACTGTAGTCCTACCACATAATTTTTATAGGCCACCAATAATTTCCCTTCAAGCCGTTTATGCTCTCCTTGTAGATGCAGCAAAAAAAGTTCTTTGCTCCTTTTTTTCAAGGCAATTCAAAAACAAAGACGGCAAAAAATGCAAGGATTTTTATCTCCAATCATGCTATGTTGTATAAAATGGCATCGAGACCATTTACASCTTAATTACTATACATTTTAAACTATTTTACTGGTTAAAAGACACCTTTCAAAGCTAATAAAAGGAAGAATAACAAATTTGAAGGGTATAAAAGTGCGAGAGTGCCACACTTCTTCGAAGTTATATGAATGAAGGTCACATAGTAATGAGCTATTCACAGAATTCTGTTTCTTCCTTTTTTCAAAGGCACTAAAGGCACTGAATCGTAGAATAATCATTTCTACACGGCAATGAGGCTTCTTTTGCTCTCGGTTATCGCAACCAGTGTCACGTGCGACCTCATCAGATTGGACGATTTATGGTTGTCGACATCAACATTCCAACGTGAACACGGATACGCCTTAATTGGTCACGTMATCCAAACCTTAGACGTTTATATTGCTGAATGCATAGAGGCTTGCCAAAAAGCATTGAAATGCTTCTCTTATAATTACRTCGGCTTCCATAATGGCTCATTCTTGTGTGAGTTGAATCAGTCTAACAAGAAGAAAAGTCCAAATTCGTTCATTCCGATTCAAAGCTATGAATATGGTGAACCATCGGTGAGTTCATGTAGATAGAACATGAGGAGGTATTCAATGGTCATCAACCGTGGTCGGGAGGGCTTCCAAATCGCCGCCCAACAGTTTTACCCCGGCGATTAAAATATAATTTGCACTGATAATTGAGTTTTTAAGCTTGATATCTTTGTTATAAGTTTATCTCAGGGACAACTGGCTTTTCCTTCTGTAGAATGTGCTACTATAGTAGTAGTTTGGCTGAGTTTAAAGTGGTTCTGTATTACCCACATCACCCTTGTGWGTCCCTGCAGCCCAACGTGGTSAAGTTGAAGATGGCAGGMCTTGMAAAACCTTAAAATTGTGCATTTAAAATAATACTCCAATTTCGAGTTGTGGTTTGCTCTGTGTTAGCCTCAAAACCAAGTAACATATTCTTTTGTTTCATTGATTGCTCGAGAATATGCATGGAATTTTGTGAAGAAAGACAGTAAATTTGATTTGAAATCTCACACTTTATTCTCACAATAAGGAATATTTTGCGCACAAATGAGGCTAACACAGAGCACTGGAGAATTCGAAACTGGAGTATTGTCATTGTAATCAGTACATTTTTTCAGAATCCTGAATTTTGTTCAGAAAATACGTGCATTGGAAAAGATGGTAGGTATATCTTCGCAAAAAGTATTTTGGTCGAGTTTGCAACTAGAGGATTTTTTACAGCTTAAAACTAGTATTATTATCTCATTTGCATTAAAAATTTACACATTTTGAAATTTTGGATCTGAAACTGTCTGCAGTGTTTAAACAAAGTCTTGATTGAAATGCTGGAATGAGATGAAAGTGGAAATTTTTAATGAAAAGTGACGAGATTTGGCGCCATTACCATAGCTTCTGCAGAACGACTAAATTTCATGCCTCGTTTTCACCAGTGATAATAGAGTCTTCATATTATCTGCCCTTCATCTAGCTCTACAGGATGGTTGGTACAGAATAGGCCCATCTTTACTGAAGCTGTTTTATATGAAGAAAAACTGGCACGATGCTCGAAGYTACTGTCAGTCACTCGGCGGCGATTTGGTATCGATCAAATCASAGACAGAAAACAATTTTATCAAACAAGTGATATTATTTCGTAAGTAGAAGTTTTGAAATTTYAAGCAGGCTATTACATATGAGACATATATGAGTCACTTTTTTAATGATAATAATTTGATTATTGTCTTGTTTACAGCCAGCTTTCGGAGCAGAGTGGAAATGAATGGAAACGATGATCCAAATGATTTAAGGTAAGATGCCTTGTGTTTTTAATTGACTAAGGCTCGGGACAAACGGAGAGATGTTAGCCGCACAGTAAAACATCAAGCGTTATTAGGCAACCCGAACGAAACAGACTGTAAAACATCAAACGTTATTAGGCAACCCGAATGAAACAGACATGACCAGAAAGTCGCCCTAAGTCGCCGCAACTTAAGGCGACTTAAGAAAAGAATGAGGGTAAATTGGGCGAGGCACTGTAACAACTTAACCAATTTGGATGATAATTAGTTGGGGTCCCTTGGCGACTAAAAGGCAACTTTCTGGCCTGGAGTAGGCCTTTTGGGGAAAAGATGCGTCTTCAATTACAAACTCAATTCACAATTAGCTCTACAACCTTCTTTTCTTTCTATGTATTTCACTCATACTCGGTGCGCCTCATTGTCACTTCATCCATCCCGGCACACATGCATGTTTGATATTTCACCTAGCAAYGGGTTCGTTAATTTATTTTCTCGTTTATTAAGGGCTTGCAGAAAGCAAGGTATATAACATTTTTAAAAAGATAGAAAATAAAAATATATATTTTATTCTGCTTTACTAGCGTATTCGAAGGTGCAATGGTCGCATCTATAGACAACGTAAAAGCCGTGAAATTTGACGGAGTCGACGACTATGCAAAAGTGAGTAATGGTGGGGCCGTTTTTAAACAAGGCTTCACTATCGCTTTGTGGACCAGAATTCAAAACTCTGGAGCAAATCTTTTGAACGATGCTGGGGAAGGCAAAACCCTGTTYCTTATGGTGGCAACMTCCAGGCGATCACTTTCTTTTAAGTTAAAGACTGTGGAAAAGCAAGAGATACGAGCTGTGACGCCTGAAAAGTAAGTATTAACCACTGGAAAAAATCGCGCGCTTTAAAGTTTGTAAATTTGATGTAATTAAATATGATGTAATCATGTCCAGAATTCTGTAAATTTAATGGAAATCATCTACATCAAATTTACAGAATTTTGGACACTTACATCATATTTACATCAAATTTACAACCTTTAAAGCGCGCGATTTTTTCCAGTGAACAATGGGTATTCACACTTTTCCTTATGATAAGGCTTATATTCTATATTTTTCATCTGCACTTTATCACAGATTGCCTTGTGAACTTTTGACATAGCAAGGGAATTTCAGATATTGCTGCCCTAATTTGTTTTTTTTTATTATTACGGATATATAGAGGATATTACATGGGCGCGCGGAGATACGGATTTTATCTTCGAGTGTTGAAAAGATTTATTTCATAAAATACTTTTTTTTCTTACTTCCACTATATAGAGAAACCTCGAATGTGCAGTATTTTCACTAGTGTAACACTAATGAAAATATCAATTTTACGTGGTGAAATAGAGGATATTACATGGGCGCGCAGAGATGCGGATTTTATCTTCGAGTGTTGAAAAGATCTCTCACGAGTGAGTGTAGCGCGAGATCTTCAACACGAGAAGATAAAATTCGTATCTCCAAGCGAACATGTAATATTCTATTTATCATATATWATTGTATATGAAGCAAATTATGTCGTAAAATAGCTTTTTTCTTAATTCCACTATATAGAGAAACCTCGAATGTGTTATTTTTACCAGTGAAAAAAACATTTTATTTTCACTAGTGAAAATATAATCAACTTCATGAAATGGAGAAATATAGGTATTTCATAGATAATATGATATATCTCTTTATTTAGTGTCTTTGAACTCGACAAATGGACCCACATTGCGGTCACGTGGAATCATACTGCAAAAGAACTGAGGATTTTCATCAATTCTCAGTTAAAAGCAWCAACARTATCAATCATGGAAAACATTGAATTATTTTACACTGGACGCCTAAACTACACTGCTGGAAAAAATGGTCGCTTTCTCCTTCATGGTTGGATGAGGGAATTGTGTGTATTTGAGCGAGCACTTTCTACATCTCAGATTCAGAAATTAGCAGGTAACTTTAAGATAGTTTTCTTCGCAGCCGACTTCTTGTGTCGTCACGCATCGCAGGGTCGGATCAAGGAATTTCCTCAGGGAGGGGTGCGGGCCTCTCAGGAGGGGGTGCACCCCACAAAGATCATTACTAGAGCGGATTTCGTATGACTGTGCAAAAGCACGGATCACAACACGGACACGGCACGGCACGGTCACGGAACCTCTCCTTCTAGGATTTCCAATGAAAGTAAAGATTTTCCAATGCATCACGGCTACGGCACGGTACGGACACAGCACGAACGTACCGTGTTTTTTTGCACAGTCATACGAAATCCGCTCTATGAAGATGCAAATTAAGGAAAGTATTGAAAGAAACAGATATCACAGGAGAGGGTGCACACCCCCCCTGSACCCACAAGCTGGATCCGCCTATGCATCGACGCTGCGTGACAAGACAAATCGTCGGCTGCTAGTGAGTCTAGTGACAAGTTTTTTTTTTGTAGATGGTTTGCTATCTGAAGCATGGATTGGAATGAATGACATTGACAGCGAAGGCTTGTTCAAGTGGTCTGACACACAGACGATCACTTTTTTCATCAACCCTGAGGGAAACAACAACAGGAAAGACTGCGTTCAGTTAAAAAAATCGAGTAATTTTGAGAAGAAATGGGATATGAAAGAATGCAATGCTTCTCAACCATTTATCTGCGAGAAAAGTGCTTTATAGTTGAAAGGCTTKGGCACTGAATAAACCGGCATTATGAAAATGGCCGAACTATAGAATTAGGGACTGCGCAATATTTATCAGAAGGGGGGTTGAGAATCCAGAAAGGGGGGGGCAACATCTAACTTAATGCGCTTAAAGAGGGAGGGCCAACGTCTAAAATTAACTAACTAGAACTTTAATTGGAAACTGAAAAATCAACGGTGTCAGCAATTCGAAAGCTTCTCGAGAATAGAGTGGCATGATTTGCGACAACTCTTTATTCACGAATAATAGAAAAAAAATCTGAAACTAGTTCGTAATTTCTGCAAAGAAAAAAAATGTAACTTAAAATGACTTAGTGTTTCGTAGTGTAGTCAGCCCTAGTGTACGTTTTGTATAGTAATTTATGTGGGTATTAGAGTGTTGTAAGTGTGCATTTGAAAAATTAAAAAAAAAAATATTAAAAAAAAAGAAAAAAAAAATTATTGTGGCAGTTTTGTATTTATTCGCATGAAGGGTTGATTGTAGTGGGAGATGCAAAACGCTGCCCCTGCAAAAAAGAAAAAAAAAACTAACTGTAGATACTGTGCGAGGTCAGCGATGCGAACTTTGTTATTACAAAGCATTATGGGATGGGTARTACTCGTGCACGTTTTGGATGTGATGCTCCATTAGTTTTTGTGACGAAAGGCCTTATGGGGCCTCTCGTCACTATACCATCGTGTATGAGTGATGTTGAAACCGTAACATCCATTTGTAGCAGGCGTTCCTTGCGAGCCCTTGATATTTTTAAAGTTGAATAGCAAAGAGAAAATCTCTAGAGTAAAAAAAAAAMGAAGTAAAAAGCAGCAAAGAAAAGAAGAAAAGAAAAAAAAAAGAAAGAAAGAAGAAAAGAAAACAAGAAAAAAAAAACGAAAAAGAAACAAGAAAAAAGAGAATTCCAGAAGCAGGACTTGAACTCAGAACTTTCACTTCAGGAGAAGATGCACCCCCCTGAATATATAAGAAATAATGAAAATAAAAAAACTAAAAAGATGGGACGATTCCCCCGAGACATTCTATGAAGCTGAGGCGTCGAATCGGYTTACGTTAYGGTTAGAGATTTCGGCTCTTCCACGCTATCCCGAGTGAACATAAAACTTAGTCTTAACCAAAAGGCCAGGGAGTGAGGGGGTAGCCGCCCACTAGAGCATACCTTTAGCTACCCTCTTAGACCATCGTACTATGAAGACACTTATWGATATCTAATAACTAATCGGGGTAGTCTATTCGGTGAAGTTCTATGCTAATATATGACGTCACCAAAACCCTTAGGGATCAGCGAGCCAATCAGAACTCAGCTCGGGAATTAGCAAACGATATATACATGCTCTTCATTGGATTTATTATTTGATGGGGGTTGGGGATGGGTGCTGAGTGCTGGTTTGCGGCCAAATACCGCTATTCGAACTGTTAAATTGTCGTTAGAGTGAAGGCATTGATCCTGTGAAATAAAAGTTAATAATTAAACTGTAATAGTCAAATAGACACAAAAGAAAACAATGGAATTATCGAGTAATAACATGTAATAGTCAAATATGTATTTCACGGGTTCATTGACTTCACTCTATTGTTTTCCGAATCATCACAGATGTATACAGTTCTTATATCAGACCAGTTGTCAGACAGACATTATTAGTGATTCGGATAAACACCACGGCACAAATCTTTGAAATTCTTAACGTATACAAACCAGGCAGATATTTGCTGGATTTCAACGGAACACAATAAAGACCGAGAACGTTCCAGCACATTGTTATAATATAGTGAATCAACAATTGAAGAGGTTGAATGGGATAATCTGTATAGAATTGATAAAGAAATGAAGGAAAACTTAGCAATCTTTCRGTTTTATTGCAWAGCTATAATCAGGCGAATAATAGTAATTTTAAAACATGGATGTAAAAATACAGCTTAGATAATAAAAACATTTTATCGAAGAAAACGTTCGRCAATTTGTCATGAGTTTATAAGTCAACAGATACAGAAAGATGCGTTAGACTACAGCTAAATTAAAGCTCTATTGACTGCTCCATGTCGTGGATAAAAATCCATTTTCCGCCAATCTTTCAGATGGATATATTTACTGTAGGCAGGGAAACAGATAGGGCGCCCGCGTCAGGCTCCACGGRAGGAATGATCAACCATCACAATAGGTTCCTTGGCCCCTGGGAATCGCCGTTTGTTGTGTATTCATAGGTAACGTAATGTTGATCGSCACGTGATGCTTCCAGTTCCTTGCAGCATCAGATATATTCAGAAAACGTTGTATACAGCCTTTTGCAAAAATTATGAGAATTGTCTAAATATCTAAATATCATAATATCCATATCCATATATTGTCCGGAACACGCGGGTTTGCTAAAGAATAATTCATTGTTAACATCGAGAAAATGTTCAGAACTACGGATAAGTCTGTCGCCAAAAAAACCTAAACTACAAAGACAAGGGACTAAGGGCATCGCGCGGGATTACCCATCATGCACTTGATATTTTGATATTTAGATATTTCAGCAATTCTCATAATTTTTGCAAAAGGCTGTACTGAAGATATATAGTGTATTCGAAGTTTACTAAATCTCTTAATGGCCTGAGTCACATGCAGTCCTCGACTGTCTATTTTTCTTCTTCTTGTTAGTTCTTCATCTTTTCTTTCCATGAACGGCACAAATATTGCCTTTTGCAAAGAAATCCTCAAAAGCTTTATAATTTTTGGGATTCTTGAACAAAGTTCTGCGAGAACTACAGCTCTATGCTTCGCAGTCTAGAAAGTGACGTAGAGGAACATACTCCTATACTTGGGTTCCCTGTGTGTCTCACTTGTTCAACCGTGTTGCTTGGAATAAAAGATCTTCTTCGCGTTCTTTACATTTCTGTAATTGTATCCACTTGAAATATCAATTTGCAATTTGAAAAACATTTCTTCATTGACCGTAGCCGTGATCATGGTTTCATGCAAATTAAAAAAAAATTCTTGCGAATGTGTTCGTAAAAGATTGATACTACTTCGAGACTTTGGAAAATGAAAGTAATTTCTTTTTCGATGGTTGGAGCGATTTAAGTTGAGCACTCTGTGATACTACAGATACTACTTGCTATCGATTACGAAATCTGAACTAAGATATACGATGACGTCACTTGCAACTGTGCAATGATGATGATGCAACTATGTAAACAAACGAAGTTCTTCGTGTTCAATGGGCATGTTCTTTTAAAAGGTACTTGGAATTTGTACGGACCTTGGAAAGGGTACGAGGACTTGTTACAGGCAAAAGATATAAATAGAAAAAAATTAACGATATGTTTAGAATCTGTGCAGTCSTCGGGGGCGGAGTTTAAGTGTGCACGTGATCAAAATATCAACTACGTCAACAAACCTAACATCGACAGTTCCAGTACCACCATTGTATAAGCGCACAGGGACAGAATTTCATAAGGCTGTATTTTAGATTTTATTCTAGGAATATGTCTTCCCCGTCACCAGGGAAAAGACGAATAGACACAGATGTTATAAAACTGTATCCTTTACTGCTATTGTTCAATTTGAGGCAGAAAATCCAAGCTAATGTTGGCTCTTGTGAAACCAAGATGGCGCTGGATCGCCAATGTTTTGTTGTTATTTTTCTTGTATCTAATGGTAGTTTACTTGAAGATTTTGCTATCTAAACGTGTTCTCCTTGACATTGGTTCCTCACAGCATCGAAGGCAAGCATGAAGTGACTATACTTGGAGGTTTAAATGAATTTATTGTTAAGTTTTTTGGACCAAGTGGAAGTAAGTTCTGTTTACATCTTTATTTTTCCAATGTGGTTTTGACTTTCGCTTCCTCACACTTCGCAAATTCATCGTTCGTTTGCTGTTTAAAACGCCATATTTTGTCTTTAAAAAGTCAAAGATCTTATTTCCTCGAAATCGATTTTATTTTSTTCGTTTGCTAGTCATTTTGAGGTATTTTCTGCTTCGAACTTCAGTACTGATTAATTATACATAAATAGCTATATTTTATTATTGTTGTGAAAGCGAACAAGTCTTCCTTTTAGTGCTGAATTGTGACTCATGCTTGATATATTTGTAGTTTAATTTAAATATCTGACGACGTGTCTTAATCGATGWTTGAGAACGAACCCTTGCAGGGTAATGGCAAGAGTGCAAACTTGTGATATTTGTGAGCATTTTAGCTAAAGGAGTATTGTATTGAAGAGGCATCTAGTRCTGTTACCTCTCGCATAATGGCAACCACGACTTGWRGAAATCTAGCGACATTGTCTTCATGTCCTAACCATACGACAGACATGTCGAAATGCAATTTCCATAAATATTGTTTATATCATATTCCACTTGATATAGAAAAAAGTTGACCTTGAACTTACCACAACAATTCCTTTGGAATAATTATTATCCACATATGGAGGATATATTTTGATATATTATACATTTATACTTAGATTTAAGTTACTGTTAACCAGTATTTTATTAGGTATTTTTAAGTTTAATATTTGTTTTCCTCCCTCTTAAAAATTTATTATTTGTTTTGCAGACCACAACAGGATATAAGTGCTKTTAAAATTCAAATTTATTTTTGTGTTTTCATTGTATCTGATTCCACTATAATTAAGACAATGTTTTAACTGTGATTATTAGAGATGGTACAAGATTTGCATAACAATAATTATTGAGAATCAGGAGAATCTTTTGTCAACAGACAAAAGTATGCWTTTTTTTTCTAGAATCTTTCATCTGACTGGCACCACTATAAAATGTATCCCAAGGCAAAAACCAATACCTGTACCGCAAAGCCAGAGTCTTCATGTCTCACTCTGGCTTTAAGTATTTTCTCATGGATGCTACATGTATTGCAAACTTGTACTRTACAATTGATAATAGTTTGAACAATTCTCACACTTCAATTAAAATCMCAATTATTAGCTATTATTAATATAATCTATTTTTGTTTGATRTTCAAGGTCTTTATGAAGGAGGAGTGTGGAAAGTTAGAGTTGATTTACCTGAAAAATATCCATTTAAGTCACCGTCAATTGGTAGGTATCCCCTTCCTCCCCTCCCTTGCTGTTTATAATAGTTATTTGCATGCCTTACATATTATACATAATTATATTTTACAGGGTTTATGAATAAGATTTTCCATCCAAACATAGACGAAGCGTAAGTCATGCCTTTCTTTCAATTTGAAAATACACCTAATTGCAAAAAATTGTCGATAGATAGAGAAATACAATGTAGAGCCTTTGTATAATAAAAATGAATACATCAAATAGGAAAATTAAAGGTCATTCTGCCTGTGTGATCAGTATAGGGCCTTAGTGATTCTTTTCACTAAAGTACAGATGCTCTTTCTTTTCTATGACAATGCTTTAGCAATTAGGTATATAGCTGTTTCAAAAAAGGCTGTTGGATAAAATGCCGAATGTCAATTGTCGAACGGCGATTGCAAGATCGAAAGTAGCCATGGGTTTTGCTAGAAAAAGGCAATAACAACTGATTTGTACTGATGGTCTGTGGTAGACATTGGCTCCATTATTAAGTCTCCATTTCTGTGTAAGGTCAATCCAATAAGTGAAATTTTGTTTATCAAAACAGTGCAACCATAGTCCCTTTTGGTCATGCAATCTCCCTTCGACAATCGCCGTTCGCTGTTCTCCCTGATAACATTTTTTGAAATAGCTACTGTATATTCTACTTGTTTCTAAAGCCTTTTTTCATGCCAATGTACCCTGCAAACCTAAAATGTTTGGTCATTTGTAGTTGATTATAGAAAGCTAGATAAGTGTTTAAAAAACATCTTGGGTCCGTTGTACAACAGATGAAAATTACTATTTAAATCCACTAAATCCTTATCTTGARGAGAAAATCCAAACAAAATATTGGGTAAAATATTCATAAAGTAGGTCGTGCAAAGCACCTAGTTTTCTAAACAAGGCCAAATGGCTGAAAGATTGTTTAGTCAAGAGTGCTTTTAGTAAAATCGTTAAAACGTAGCTCAATACTATTTTGTACTATTTTATGCTAATTCTTTTGTTCACCTACTGTAGCAATATTTTGCACAAATTAGTAATTAGTGTTTTATGCTTTTACTGAAGCACTTGAGATATTCAGTAGACGTTATCAAGCATCAAATTGTATTGTTTCAAATTATTCTACTTAATATTTATAAATTCAAAAAAGCTAAGTTAGCCATAATAATAATAACCATATTTTAAAATCTGTAATTCAATTATGTTCAATTAACATTGAACACATTCTTATAAAAATATAAAATAAATTGTATTTCAGTTCTGGTACTGTATGTTTGGATGTTATCAACCAGGCATGGACAGCATTATATGGTTAGTACAAGTAATAATAGCCTTACAGTAACATTCTCTAAAACGGTGAACAACAGATTTTAATCAAATATAGTACAGGCTTTGTATAGCACCACTTGAAATCCTTGAAAAGACTTGGAAATGAAAAACTGATTTTTAAAATGCATTTGAAAAACACTTGGAAAAAGGAAAACACCCAAAACTCCTGTAATACTSTGTTGAAGTCAACATGAAGTTTTTTTGGTATTTTCTTCAAAAAAAAGGGCAATTTACTTTTTCTGAAAAAAATCCACCCTGTCAAAAATGTCCAAATATCAAAACTTAGAAGTATGTGGGTATGAGAATACAAAGCCTTAGGACAATTCTAAAATTTCAGTATGTCGTATTTCTGTTAGAGCGGATTTCWTATGAGTGGGAAACGGACGGTACTGTACTGTGACCGTAATCGTACTGTAACCAAATTCTAGTGCCCCATTGGTTCACAAAAATTGTGCAGGCCAGGTCAGGTAACCGTGCGGTAACCGTGCGGTGTCCCACTTATACGAAATCCGCTCTATACATACATGTTATGAGTCTTTTCTTTTTCTTTTCAGATTTATCCAATATTTTTGAGTCATTCTTACCTCAGTTGTTGTCTTATCCCAATCCTGTTGATCCATTAAATGGTGATGCAGCAGCTTTATATTTGCACAAACCTGAACAATATAAAGCTAAAATAAAAGGTATGTCTCTTCAAATGGTAGCCAAAATCATAGACAACACACGGTCCCTTCCATGCAATGGGTGGGCTGCCTGTGTGACTATACTGTACCTAATGTACATGTACAGTACTACAGGCAGTCTTGCCTTATTAGAGCGGATTTTGTATGAGTGGGAAACGGATGGTATTGTACTGTAACTGTAATCGTACTGTAACCAAATTCTAGTGCTCCATTGGTTCACAAAATTTTTGCAGGCCAGGTCCGGTAACTGTGCGGTAATTTCTACCGTACGTTTCACACTCATACGAAATTGACTCTAAAAGTCTGCTACATGTGTTGTACTCAGTAATATTGCAAAGTTTACTGTAGTTTGAGTAATGTTATCCATAATAGCATACAAAGATATATAGACGATATTACATTGGCTTGCAGAGATACTGATTTTTACTAAAAAATTTTTAAGATCGATCAGAAGTGAGCGTATGAAATTTGCAATATTCTGTTCTGTTGCAAAAAAGGCCTGATGCATTTCCAAATTTTATCTCTTTTTTCCAGAATATATTAGAAAATATGCAACTGAAGATGCTCTTAAGGAACAAGAAGAACTATCGTCATCTAGTGACAGTTCAATTAGCGACTTTTCTGAAGATGAAGCGCAGGACATGGAGCTATGACAGCAACCAAGTGTTTTATATTCCAAATATTAATAGATGAACTCCTATGGAAGTCATTCATATGTACATATTACAGTTATATTTAGATTTAATATTTTCAACGTGTTTATCTGTATTTATTTGCTCTGTCTGCTACTATAAGGTGAGAATGTACAGTAGTTTACAGATCATCACATGGTGTGAACCAGGTTGAAAGGCAGAAAGGTTTTCAGTTCAATAGTTTCAACAAGTCCWGAGGGTTAGGCTTCTCCTTGGTATAAGTATGGTTTATGGGCTTCCTGTCTACTGCAGGGGTCTGGGGAGGAGCCTAGAGATGTATATGTAAAAGTGGGAGAGCCTACGTAGCAATCAGTTGATGTAATATATTCATAAAGATATAATACAAAACACAACGAGAAACAATGGAATACAATACATTTTATGAATACATTACATCAACTGCATGCTACGTAGGTCACCCCATGTAAAAGTCTCCATTTGACACAGTTCCTTTTGCCATCTTAATCTGTTACTTTCTTGTAGMCTTGTGACAGACAGGTGTCAATCAGTGCAAGGTTACTTCAATGCTAAGACACACAACACTTTTGAGATGACGCAAGGAACTGTGAAGAGAAAGAAATCATGATTTTCTGTCATTTAAAATGTGGATTGTCATCATCAGAAACCTTTAAGGGACTTGAAACGTGTAACGCCGTGCCAACCGTTGGAATATTCAAATCTAATTTGTATCTCATTTCCTTATTTGACCTTATTTGGAACAATTAAATTTACCCTATAGTCCCTATAGCCAACCAGAACAGGCCTCCAGCTCTTATCCAACAGCCGAATTTTCCAAATATGGTCATAAGGTTCTTTTTCGAATTTTTAATGAGCTTTGAATATTCTGACGCTTGGTACTAAAGAAATGTATGTGCGTTGCACGTTTTCAGTCCTTTATAGGTCTCTGCCATCATGTAATGGTGAAAAGCATCTTAAAATTATTTTGGTTTGTATGGCACTAATTGGAAATTAATTTTTAATCAAAGCGGCAAGAGGATTTTGGTCTAATCATTAGGCATCATGCGGAAATAATCAAATGATATAGATGTAGTTTGCGTGTAGATGGAAATTATTTCAGAGAACATGAGAGAGTGACATATGTTTGTTTACCACTGGAGATCAACTACCACTTAAAATAGTTTTGTTTGAATTGAGTTTTTTCCTGAGCTGCCAACTCCAGTATTTCCTACATGTACCTCCCATTCAAAATTCCTACTGTGTGTAACTGTTGAATTTGGAGGCAATTAAACCTGGATTTGAAAGGATGCAACTGCATTTGTGTGGTGACCTATAGAAATATGAGACAACTATCAAGGCAAAAAATTGTTGAGAATTTTGATTTATTTTTTTCAGTTTTTGTTGTTGTTGTTGTTTCTGTTATTGTTATATTTTTTTTGTTCACGATGTCACATGTGTACAACACATTTCATTTATCCTTGGCTATGAGATTGTGATTATGTAACTGGGTTGGTGGCTGTTATTGTTGCATTAAAATCAAAGGGCTTTCAAAATAAGACTATCCTGTTGTTTAGATAAGGTTTTGCATTTTGAAGTGGTAGTTGACATTAACTTTTGGTTAAACAATATTCTCAAGTTATGCTATAGTCAATATGCACAATCATTAAACTATGACCTGATGTCACTAATAAATTGGTCAACAAATGGTTATTGTACTGGCGCAATGTATTATAGCTTATTGCACTCATTTAGGATATTCCTATTCCAATTGGCAGATTTCTTAAGAGTGGACTTAGTTTACATACAAAAGATTGGAGCTTGCATCTCTTTAGTCTCTTTCTTGCAGCATTTCATTGGGCTCCCTGTCTCTCTCCCAAGAGAGACAAAGCAGCCATAACCAGGAAAKGTTGTGAGAGAGACTACTACCTACTATTATTGGAATCTAATAATTGTGTGCAGTACCAATGAGCACTATTAATTTTGCAGATCTACAGCTGTTTATAAGGAGTTGTCAACACAGAAACTGTAATTATAATACTGATTTTACTGATAATGGGGAAATTGGATAAATTCTTTATTTTGAATTGCTTAATTTATAAAACACATGACATTAATTTAAATTTCATTTGAATGTGTACATATTTCAGGTTAGTTTAATTATTTTCAGATATTCAGGATCTCAAGTACAAGTTGTAGCCTAAATGATATATTAGCTTGATTCCACTCTTAGGAAATCTTCTATAACTTAATCTATAACATTGTTGGTATTTTTAAAAAATAAATATTATAATAAGTGTTGAATGTGCGTTTCCAGGAATTTTTTTAAATTTTTTTTGTTACAACATTTTAAATGTATATATTATTGCCTCCTTTGGTCTTATCAAACCACCAAAAAATTGACTTACTTTATAAACAGATCTGTGATCAGAATGATCAGCACGTGTTTATTTATCTGTGGTTGTCATCTGAACATGGAACACAGGGAAGCCTGCGCAACTATTGCGTGACTTTTGCTCGCGCGCGTAAATTACATATGCTGGTCAGCGGCTATGCACAATTCAATCCAAGATGGCGGTTGTGGAGGACACTCCTGGAAGAGTGAAGACACTTCTTACAAGCTTYTTACAGTCATCTGCCGCCGAGCTAGGTGCAAGGTAACCAAGTCATACAGTCGKTTACGATAGTATTTGTGTAGCATAAGGRAGCGAAACGGTAGGGGCTATTGCGTGGAAACGCCACTTGTCATGGACGGCGCTTTCATTCCACGTTTCTTCGTTAATTGTTATCGATGATTTTCGAATTCATCTAAATCCTGCCGATTCCTTTCTTCTACTTATTCACTCAATAATAGGTTTTATCTGAAATAAAGTATTAGTAAGTTTTCTGTRCGCTGAAGTTTTGATAAAACTGGAAAGACGCTGGTACTGTCATAGTACATCCAAGAAGTGTCAAGTAGTGAATCTAATGTTTACCAGCACGACGTTAAATGTGAGCTATTTTCTAAAGATTTGAAGACTGGATTATATAAGAAATATTTAGGRACTTTGATTCATCCAATGAAATATCTCGCTTTAGTCTGCAAAATATCATAGGTTTACATTTAATTTGTATACCGTTATAACATCTTATAATATCCTTTGTTATGTCATAAACGCGTAGTGCAGTAGCTTTGATGACTGTTATACCAAAAGGTGTAAAATTAAACTTAACATGGGYAAAAAAATATGCATTATTTAAACCAACCTAAAATAAACTGGATAGCTACCTACATTATACTTCCAATGACACATTTTTGYCAATGGTATTTCCTTCCTGTTTAATAATAGGGTTTTTTTAAATTTCTTTTTAACTAAACAATCTTTTCTTGTTTCAAGGCAGCATTTACATTTCATACTACACCAGCTGTATTGGAAAATTGATAAAATTTGATATGCTTCCATTTAAAGAACATACAACTGTAATCAGTCATCCAAATCCACATAATTTGCAACTTTGATCCATCAGATAGGCTCTTCAATATTTKTAAGGTCTATGACGTGATGTCAGTATTTTGAATTTTCATCTTAYTCAGACCCATGTGATTGGGCAATAAATTTAGTCCAACTCTTGAAGTGGGTGTAATTTAAAAGATACATTGATTTACAAGTATCAAATATGAATTATTGTCCATTTATTTTAAGACAAAATAATGGCAGATAGGTGGGTGAACAAATTGTTCAACGRAGCTCAAGTTTGACTAGTCAAAGCATCTTTTAGTGAAATAAACTACAGTTTGTACAAAGATTTTGTAAGTTACATAAAGATGAAATTTCTACACAACATACATGTACTGTAGGCCATCAATGGTCTCTTATGTTTTGTCCTGTGTTTTGTTTAGGTTAGATGATTAAGGGATGAATTGAGCTACACTAAATGTCTTTCTTTCTTCTTTAATCAATCAGTGTTGTTGGGGACTGTTTTTGAAATTATCATCCTAGTACCCCTAAGGCTTTTCTTATTTCAACCTTGCATAATGTCACTGATAGACATCACCATCGGACTCATATCTAAGAATAGAAATATTATTTGAGCTTTTATCTGAAAAGAAAAAATGTTCTCTTGGTGCAGTAAATGTAGTTCACTTACATTTTTATGTTTTTTTTATCTAGCAATCAGTCAGACCCATCTCCAAAGGCATCATTGTCAGCATGYCAGCCAAGAAGTAAAGAAGCATTTTGGACTAGAGTGGAGACTTTTTCTGTATCCTTTCCTTTAGTTTCTGTCTGTTGTTGTAGCATAGTTAATAGAGAGGACTAGTCCTCTCTATTAACTATGGTTGTAGTGATTACTAGGAGGTTGAATAGGACAGCAGTGTTTTCAGTGTTAATGACATTGTTATCACTGTAGCAGTGATAACAATGTCAGATGATAGATAAGATAAGATAAACTTTAACATGGTCGAATACATTTAGCTATATTTTATAAAAATATTGCTAATTTACAGGTATTGAAAGCATTAAAGATCTACTGTGCTTACAGCCATTTCTATATGTTTGTGTATGGCAGGTGCATCAATTTCATATAATTTTGTTCTGAGTCTTTATAAGTGACCATCCAAAATACTTTGTATGTGGGAGATTTCTCATGGTCTCTTTCACCATATAGGCTTTGCATGAAAAGGTCACATGGTACTAAATCCGCAATAATGGATGGCAAAAAAGTATGACCGTTTCATGCAAAAGGCTTATTCTTCTCTTTAGAAGAGTCACCATTAAGTCACACTGTTAGAGTGTGTGTACAGTGATTCTACAGTTATTACATGTCCTCTATAATCCTTAACCATTGTAAGCCTTTTACATGGTTTGCAAAACCTCTTGAACTTTCACCCTTGTACTGTTCTCTGTATGGCTGGGAAAACGTAGATGTTGACATACTCCGTTGTGTTAGTTGTAAAGCTTGCATTGATGCAACCATGCCATCAAACTGGGATCCTGAAATTTGTAAGTGGTTTCGTTTAGCAATGACTACCGTTGGATGTGTTAGGTTTCAGAACAATAACATTGTTTTGCAGTTACTAAAAGTTGTCAAAACCTGAAAGACTCTCTCATTACTGGTCATACAAAGCTTTGTCCTTGGCCAGATAACCCATGTCCAGGTAAGAATAGTGTTTTAATTCACAGGTAMTTGGTTGGTTATCACAATCTGTTTGTTAATGAGGGGTATTGAATGGTAAATCCGAGCCTGCGAGCCCCTCGTTTTAAAGTCCGAGCCCGAGCCTTTGGCTGAACAATATATTTTGTCAATTGTGATCTTCTCAGCCAAAAGTAGATTCAAATCCGAGCCCCTTTCTTCTCTAAGTGCCAACCTTGCGAGCCTTGGGAAATTTTTGGTGAGCCTCTTGATTTTTGAGACACCATTCTATACCCTTTTAATGATTTTGTAGCCTTCAGCTTCTCAGCATGTTTTGGGCTTCCTGTGCCATCTTTTCCTTTACTCTATGTGCTGACCATGTTGATTACCAGACAGTAAACTCTTCTTACACAGAAATCTCAAGAAAATACATCCTTATTTTGGATGGGCATACACAGGAAACCCACAACAAATGTAGTTGATATTTTTTTTACAGATGCATTTGTTCAGCTTCCAATGTACACACAGGATCAGTGGAAAAAAGACTTTGTAGTTCGATGGCATTCATTACTGTCATTAGGAGTGAATCTGCCTGTACTTGACGACATTGCATACAGTGACATGGCAAGTTTTTGCCCCTCCCCCCCCCTTTTGCCCCTCCCCCCTGTACTTGATGACATTACATACAGTGACATGGCAAGTTTTTGGCTGTCCCCCTCCCCTTCCCCCTTTTGCCCCTCCCCCCTTTCCCCCTGCTGAATATATAGTTTAACCTGCATAAATCATATGGACAAATGGATCATTTCAAAATTTAAGGATGTGCCCAACAAGTGTCAAAAATTCTGGATTTTCCCCTGAAAAAAAAAAAAAAAAAACAAAAAAAAACGTTATTTAATGTATAATATTCCTTCCTCTCAGCTTTCTTTTCCCTCTAATTCCCTTTTCCCTATTTCCTTACTTATATTTTATTTTTTGGACCCATAATTGACAATTACGGCAACCAAYTCGAAAGCATTTTAGCTCCTTTGGTTGCTGTACACTTATTCAAATTAATGATGTATAATAATTTACATTTAGAAATTAAAAAAAAATAATCATGAATGTAAATAATGATCAGAAAAGTGTGAATAAACTAAGATTGAAAATTGAATTGAATTGAATGTGTCTTGTGTGTTTAGGATGAAGTCACTGATGAACATGTAGCTGGGTTGCAGCAACTTTTCCAAACAGATGGAAATGAATTAGTGYTTAGCAACGAAACACAGAGCACAAGACAAGTGATCAAAATATCAAGCCTTATCGCACTTTGTGGATGGAATAACA